ACTGCGTATGTTATATAACAGAGTGTTGGGTGTATAAGGGTAACTTCGGAATTGCCAGCCTGCACCAATTTTTACTGCCTTTAGTTAAACAAACATTCCTCCTTTAATTTTGATATCTTCTGCATCTCCTGGTAGTGTGAAATCTCCTCTTGGGTTTGAACACCTTGGATGGCTTAGCTCACTCCCATAAATCATAGGCAGAGTAGTCTTACCTCCCAGCTACTGCACAACTGCCTTGTTAGGCTGCTTGCACCGAGAGCTGGAGCATTGGTGTTGAAACTACAGTACCTGTTACAAACATGCCCCAACCACCTACCTATAGTTAGATAGAGGAGATGCTTCCTGATTGTCCTTTGGGATTCTGCTCTGCTCTCTAATGCCATGGTAGCGTGGCTTCCAGGCTCAGTCATGCTGCCATTTAATCTAGCAATTTACCAAATTTGGGGGTAGAGACATGGACCTGGTAAGTTTTTTTTCCTTCTCCCTCAGTGTTCCTAATGTTATGTTTCTATATAAAGTGCTTAAAAAAACCAAACAAACCCAAACAAACAAAAAGTAAACACAGAAATCAACCAGGAAGGGAGGAGTGGAACTTCCTCACTAGACTGCAGAAGCATGGTTGTTGTCTGAAATGCGGGAGGTGCTGGTTGTGTCTTTTGGTACCTGACTGAATGCTGCTCCTGAATCATTATGTTGCCTTTTTTAAAATAGAGAATGTCTTTGTACATCTTGTAATGTGCATTATTTGGAGAAAGGATTGCGTACTTGAAAATAAATAGGTTTTCTAGCTCTATTAATCTTCATAAGATTCCATCTCCCTATAAACCTGCTTGGGCATCTTCAGATTGATGAGGCCACTCTACTTTTTGTAAAATTCTGTGTGGAACAAACTTTTAAATCGTCTTACTCTTGCCACTGAAACTTTGGACTAACCATGTGGTACTTGCTAGGTTTTTATTGTGTGTGCAGTTAGGTATGAAAGAGGAAGTGCGTCTCCAGGTGACAACGTGCTCATTGTACAGCGATGGCTGGTGAGAGTCTTGCTTGTTGCACCATAGTTGACTAACTCAGGCAGGCTGTGTGTGCTGTGAATGATTTGCTGCCTAGTGTCAGTGAAGGCAGAGGTGCCAGGAGCTCTAACGAGGCCCCTCCTGCAGGCTGAAAGCAATGTAAAAATGTTTTAGTTCCATAAACTTCTCAACTTCCCTCCCTTCACTGTATTTCCTTTACGGATCCATAAAATATTTCTGGGGATAAGTTGCCTCATTCTTCTGACTTGGCTCTAATGTATTTAACATCTTGCTGCAGCCATGCTTTAATCCTTTCTGTGTTCATCTTCCCTGTGAGCGACTGCTGTGACTTTTTGTACCTATAGAAGGCAGTGTGAGCTACACAACTCCCAACTCCAGCTAAATTTGGTGCCTGTTACAAAATTGTTGCATTGACTGCTAGAATTAAGTTAATTAGGCTTTGTGTCCTGATTTATTTGCTGTTGTAATGGAACTTAAAAGTTCAGTTGACAGTAAGTCTGATAAATGTGATACACTAGAAGCAATATCACTAATGGGAGAAGGAAAGCTCTGTCCTATTGTACAAATGGGAAGCTGAGGCGTGAGGGGTGATGTGCACAAAGGTGTATCGTGTTGACAGGCAGCTCTCTCCAATTTTCTGATTCTAGTCCAGTGTTTCACCTTTGCCTCCAGCT